TTCTTGCACTACAGCACTTGGACGTATTGTACTTGGACTACAGCAGCGGAATAACAGACTTATGCTCTATTTTGAGATGGCTTGCTATTTTAATGCTATGTAACTTCCTAGAAAAAACTGTTTTAAGTGGCTTTTTTAAACAACATAATTCTCACTCTTCATATGTTTCAAAGGAAGCCAGATGAAACATGAGGAAGATTTCATTGAGGAGAACTTGAAAGCTTCTACCTTCTCCATGTAAAGAACATTTAAATACATCCTTCTTATTTGTAGTAATACAAACACAACTTTCTTCCTCCTTCTTGTAATTATTTTAAAAAGGAGTTGCTTTGGCTAGTGAGATGGGCAGCATATAAATTTAATAAATAAAAATAAATAGAAACCTGTACCTGTCTATTTTTAAAATAATGTTTTTATCATGTTTGCAATTACTGTACTTTATTAAGTTCATTAGCTTAAACCTATTGCAATTTTTCTTGCTTTTCAGCCCGGGTAAAAATAATATAAGCATATTGCTATGTAAAATATATGTAGCATATAAGCATCTTTAACGATGGTTACAATCTGACTAAGCAACAAATGGAATGGAAATCAATTTCTTAGCATCTACCATCATTTGAATGCAACAAAACGAAATTTGATACTCCTTGAAGGAATGGGAATTGGAGAAATATATGCTTTGGGAGTCTCTTAAGAGAGGAAAAAAGTAATCAAATTGCAAATTAGAGTCTATTCAAGCAATAAATTAGTGTCAGTGTAACTCTTTTCAATGTGTGACTACTCAGAAGCACTGGGAACAACAAATGCATGTACTTTGAAACGACTTAAAAGTGCAGTATTTGCCAAGGAGGCAAATAGAAAATCAGTTCATATGCCTTTGAGTCAGCCTTATCTATTTCCTATGGTGATAGCATAAAAATAATTAGTAACAATAATTAGTAGCAAAGAAAATGCACACTGTACTCATGAAAACCTATCTGGAAACAGGAATCAAGGGTCTTCTTAATTGTGCCTGAAGCTGTGTAACAAGCTATTTATTATATAAGGCATTTAGCAACCACATTTAGCTCACTCTAGCAAAAGAAGGGACACACCCTTTACAGGTATCTTCCTCCACCTATGTTCTCATGCCTTCCCCAACTCTTTCTGCAGGGTTTAGGCAGCCTTCAGAACAGTGTGGAATGAAACACCAGATGCTACAAGAAAGGCATTGTAGATAGCAAAGTTGATAGGGACTGAGAACCAAGGTTAAGGAAGCCAGCTTGGGATCAGGAAAAGTTTCCAGGAGCCTACAGAATTGCAAAAAAATAATAAATATACAAAGCTCCATTTGTGCGAGCAGCAGGCACGCGCGCCTGCCGCTCAGGCAAATGGAGCTGTACGCGCAAGTGCACACACCAGCTGCTCTCGCGGAACCATTCCCTCTCGTCCCCCCGCCAGTCCATCAAGCGGGAAAGGTTGGGGACCGCTGATTTATACAGCATTGTTTTCCTCCAAGAACACTACTTTCCAAGCAATGGGTATATTTTACATACACATGCACAATAGCTGACTGAGTTAAGATTAAACGCTAAAGACAATATTATCATACCCCCCCTTAACATTTTAAAGCTGCAGAATGAGGCAAGATGGCAGAGGTTGGGAATCTGTCATCCTTCAGAAGTGCTGATCAGCTACATCAAATCACTGCATTTACAAGATTCCAAACCACGTCTCACTATTATTAAATTTGCTACTCTGGTGTTACAACGATCAATTCAATTTAGACACCTGAGGGTATTTTTGAATTATCACAAGTTTGGAACTTCATTGCTATAATGAAGAACTAGAGATTTATCAAACACGGAGAGCAGTACAAAAGATAACTCTTCACCACTGGAAAGACAGTGCAAACACAGATTTACAGTGCAATATGACTGATGGGTGTTCACTTTTTGCTTATTAGTTAGTTCTCTATCAATGCAATGGAACATAGAACATAGAATCATAAGGTTGGAAGAGACCTTGGATGTCATCTAATCCAACCCCCTGCTCAACGCAGATGCCTTATGCCATCCCAGTCAAATGATTATCCAGTCTATTTTTGAAAACTTCCAGTAATGGAGCACCCACTGCTCCAGGAGGCAAGCTATTCCATTGATTAATTGTTTTCACTGTCAAAAAAATTCTCCTTACTTTTAGGTTGGCTTTAACATGCTTCCACACAATCAATATTATTTCACATGGTCAAGGTGTAATGATCAGTTTAAAAACTAGGAAAAATAAACTTCTTATACGTAACATGTTTTTCCCCTTTTTTCTTTATATTTTTTGTGTTTTCCTCTTCTCTCTCTCTCCCCCTTTTCTTTTGCCCCCCCCCCCGCTAAAGCAATAAAATAACTTATGCCTTCTGTATGTAAAAAATATATGGTAAATGTTCAAGCAAATGTAAGTCATTCTTGAACCTAGGAGAGCCTCTAGGTATAAGCTGTCATATGCTTTGACTCCAGTTGTGCATCTCCAAGCTGCAGACCTGAAGGAGAAAGTTTATATAACTGAAGCTAAGCACGGTGGTAACTTGGTGTGCTTTCTTAGTTCAAAGCAATGTAAATATCAGGTCAATGGGGTAGGGGTGGTGGTGGTGGTGACAGGGTCAGCTGTGTGATCATTCATTTTGAATCCTGGTCCAGATTCCTCCCACACAGTCCAAAGACGCATCATGGTTTTCCAGTTTTTAAAAATAACTTTAAATAAAATTTTAATAGGTGCACTTTGAATGAAAACAGAAAATTAGGGAACTACTAAATAACAACCAAGTAGTTCAAAGCAAGAACACATTGCATTGAAAAAACATTTAGAAAGCTGTTCATTTTAAAACAAAAACCAGAATCCCATAGCAAATACAGAAAGTAGCTATAAACACACACAGATGCACAGCCAGCTACTAAATTACACTTATGGACTTGAATTCTCCTGAGAATTAAATATTCCAATAAAAATAAGAGAAGAGATGGAAACACAAGTTTCTTATTATCACACTTCATATCATAAAATATAGAGGTTAACTTACTTTGGGCAGAAGTTGTGCAACAAACTGGCTTACGCAAATATTTTTTTATTGTTGACCTATCTTAAATGCAGCTTGTCATAATTTAACTTCAAGCACATTGTGCTCTCAAATCATCCTAAATGTATCTATAGTTTCAACCCACTGACAAATCATTACTGTGCCAGCAGTATCTTTGGGGCCATGTGAAGGGGGAAGGCAATTCAACAAATCAAATATAATTGAAACCAGGTAACTATTAGAGTAAAATAAGCTGGTTTTTTCCCTAGATCCCTTAATATTAGAATTACATAAATTACAAATATAATACAGTGTATTATCTCTCCTGGGTAAATAAACAAACAAACAAACAAACAAACAAACAAACTTGGATGTTAACCATGTTAATTTCTGGGTATGAAGTATAGGCTAATGTGTGATCTATAGATTTGTAGTTTCAGCTTAAGAAAAGGAAGCTTTCAATCAAAGGAGAACAATTTACAGGAATAAACTCATGCATACTCTCACACTTAAATACTAATTTTATGATGTTGTACAATTAGTAAAGTATTTGCTAAAGCCAACAGAAAAAATAACACTTTTTTAATGACCATGAGCCATAAACAGAATAAAAATGTGACTAATTATCTACACTCTATCCTTTCTTCTCAAGTTATTTATATCCCACCTTGCCTCCACTCTAGTGCCATCTGTTTTGCAAATGAATTTGTAACAATTCTTTCTGCAAGACCTGTGTTGTACAGTAAAACACGTGAATTGGAAATAAAGAATATTCCCCCCCCCCAAAAAAATTAGAATCAATTTGGAAAGAAGCTTGGAAGTCTTCAAGCCCAATCCTGGGCCTATTGTTGGAACCTTCATACCATCTCTGACAAATAGCTGTCCAGATTTTTTTTCTTGGTCAGTAATGAAGCACCTACAGCTTGAGAAGGCACTGCTGTTGCATTGCTTGACAGCTCTCAGTTAGGATATTCCTTCCTAATTCAAGTGTGGATTACTCACTGTAAACCTTCTATCTATGATTTTTGTCTGGAAAATAAATCAATACCCTCTTCCCTGTGGTATCCCTTCACGTATTGGAAGATTGCTATCACATCTCCCTTTAGCCTTCTCTTCTTTAGGCTAATCACATCAAATTCCTTTAACCACTCTTTGTAAGATTTAGTTTCCAGGCCTCTTACCATCCTTTTTTGCTGTTCTCTTTCCTGTTTAGAATACAATAGAATAGAGCTGGAAGGGACCTTGGAGGTCTTCTAGTCCAGCCCCCCGCTCAAGCAGGAGAACCTATACTGTCTCAGACAGGTGAATGTCTAGTCTCTTCTTAAAATGCCCACGATTTCTGGGGGTAAGCTGTTCCACTGGTTAATTGTCCTCCCTGTCAGGAAGTTTCTCCTTAATTCCAGATTGCTTCTCTCTTTGATCAGTTTCTAACCATTGTTTCTCGTCCTTCCTTCTGGTGCTTTGGTGAATAACGTGACCCTCTCTGCCTTGTGGCAGCCCCTCAGATACTGGAACACTGCTATCATGTCTCCCCTATTTCTTCTTTTCTTTAGACTAGCCAAACCCAAGTCCCGTAGCCGTTCTTTGTATATTTTAGTCTCCAGGCCTTTGATCATCTTTGTTGCTCTTCTCTGAATTTTTTTCAAACTCTCTACATCTTTTTTGTGATATGGTGACCAAAATTCTCTCTTATTCTGGTCTCCAGAACAGGGGACAGTTTTCTAAGTGTAGTCTGACCAGTACAGCATAGACTGCGACTAAAAAAATAGATGATTGGAATCTCCCAGGCAGAAAAACAATTATTATTATTGTTAATACAAGTGTATTAACCCTTTCTTGTCAGGCCATCTTCTGTGACTGAGAATTAAGGTTATTGTTATACAAATATGGTCAATTTAGGATGGGGGGATTGGAGAAAGAAAATGTTGAATAAGTTTATACATCTCTGACATACCTCCGGTTCTGGTGAGTGCTTCATAATTTTAAGAGCAAAATAACAGCCAATTGAGTGTCCAATAAGTATAAGCTTGACATCTTTTGGCACATACTTTCGGAGGAAGTTCAACTTGTGTTCAACTTGCCCATGAAGCCCAAAAACATCATCAGTGTCATTCGAAACCATCTCTATAAACAACCAAAAAATAATAATAAAATTATATCCTTTGCTTTGAAGATGATTTATTGCATTCACTGTTGTTCTTTATAACTGCTTTCCAAAATAATCTAGAAATTACCAAGAATACTCACAGACTTTCTTTTAGTGATAATTATTTAATGTTGTTCAATTACTTGTATTAAATAGAATATTACCAATAAAACAGTAACACTAATTAAAACTTATTTAAATGGGCAATATAGTAAAGTTAACCGAATATAATATAAAAGCTTTTCCAGAAAGTTAATAGAAGGAACCATTCTGAATTCCTGAAGGAAGACAAAAGAAAGATGTAAAATTACCATAAAGAACACCCTGTTGTGATATCCCCAATCTCTGTTTTTCCTGTAGGAACAGAAAACAAGCCATGGATGCTGATCTTAAAAACTAGAAAAGCCAACAAAATGGCAGCATCTTAAACTGAATCCTGAAACCAAAAGGCTGAAGAATTATTTTTTCAGGTAACAGTTAGCAAGAATTATGCTGCTGGACTATCTTTAACTATTTGCAGCTTAAGTCCCACTATATTAAGGAATTGGAATCCCACAATTTTAGAAATTTTATTTTATTCAGAAAATTAGTATGTTTCAACCAGGACTTTTTTTTGTCATAGAACGCATTGGAATGGAGTTCCGGCACCTTTTTTCGGCGGATTTTCCAGAGTTGCCTTGAACAAAATCCTAGTCTTTTAGATACACTAAAAATTGAAGGTTTTTTTCCAACTACAAAGGTAAACCTTATAGGGTAGACAAGGCGGGTTGCATGACATGTGTGAGTTCCGGCACCCTTTTTTTTTTTTTTACACAAAAAGCACTGGTTTCAGACATCAAAGGTTTGGAAAATGTTGATATTATTCAGGACCTAAATGGTTGTCAACCTTTTGTATTTTATTTTCCTACTCCAATACTTCACTAAAGAACTTTCTTTTATATCAAACACGATCTGGAATTTTCTTTTCCAGGAAAACCATAAACATGTTTATAAGCATTCCATTATTATGTTTATTACTTACAGTAAATTTTAAACACCTGACTTACTTAGCCTACTTCTGAATGCCACCTGTGATAGATATGCACTTAACTGAGAACCATCTGTTTTTAAAGAAAGGGTGGCCAATTTTCTTATGCTCAGAATCTACATTTCTTGTTTTTTGAAAAAATGTTCAACCTCCAGGCGATGCAGGGTACATGCCCAGTATTGCAATGTGTCACCATCACAGACAAGCCGAAACGTGAGATGAGCAGCTATATAAATCTAATAAATAAAATAAAATACTCATGGTCTTGGAGACATTCACTGTACAATATAATTTCAAATGCATTTTTCCACTCTGGGTCATTTCCCCTATGAAGTAAAAGTATATTAGAAGAAAAAATGCTTGTAAAAATCTCATTCAAATATTCTCTTCTATAGCAAACCTTCATTCCATTTTAACAGACTACATCTGGTGTGGTAAATAGCAGAAAGTCAGACTAAGATCCAGGTTCAAATCCAGTCAACAATGAGAGGGAGAGAGAAAAACAAAGAAGAGAACCTGTTTCTGTTTAGTATTCCTCTTCATAGGTTGCTCAGATGAGACAGTCAAGGCGAGATGACATTCACTATTTAGAGTTTCTCAGAGGCTATATTGCACAGGGTTGTCTATGGTAACGTGTTTGGCACCATGCTGAGAACATGAAGAACCACTTATTGAGTGTGCTCTCATACAGTCCCCGCATAATTAGTTGTTTTTAAAAAATGCCACAAAAAAGTAATTGTTGGGTATAAAATGATAATTGCTTCAAGGAAACAGGATCTTCTACTGTTTATTGTTTAGTGTTCAATGTTTACCCTTTGGTTCAAATCTTAAACAAATTAAACCAGGGATGGCCACAGAGAAAGCTTTGAGAAAGCCAATTAATACTGTTGGTAAACTGTCCTTAGAAACATCCTGCCATGATTTATGCTATTAAATTAAAAATGGAAGAGGCGGAAAGGAGAATGAGAAAGGCAGAAATAAACGGCATGTCCCCTCTTCTTTACCTCAAAAAAAAAAGATGAAAGCAATCTTTTGCCAATAACAGTTTTTTTTCACTTATTATGCAGGTAATGGAAAATAAAAAGTTTTGTAGCAAAGGCCTAAGGCCAATGCATTGTTTTCAGATGAAGGCCTATTTTTAGGCCAAGTTGCTCTGGTTATTTTTTCATCCAGTCCATCGCCAAGTATTGTGTTGTAAGCTGAACATCTAATTCATCCTACGAAAAGTATTGTCCTGAATTATATGAAGTTCTCAAGTAACCTAAACTTAAGATATGTTTATGATCATTTCTCATGTCTTTCCTTATTCATTTAACAATGAAATAAAATGATTACGATAAAGGTATAGAAAGTAGTATCTTCATGTACCCAGAGTATGTATATTGGTTTTTCTGCTCTGGCCCTAAAAAGTCATTTAGTTAAAATAAAACTAATGGTTGTCAATTTTTTATAGAAGCAGAAACTGGTCTCAGAAAAGGGACAGACACCCAGGATCACATTTCAAATATCTGATAGATATTTCCTGTGCATAATAAGGCCTTTGATTGTGGATACTACAAACAATTGTGGATAGTCTTTAAAAATATGGACATAGTGGACTACACCATCTTCAACTAATGCAGGGGTGTCAGACTGCTGGCCCACGGGCCGGATGCGTCATGCCAAAACCACACCCACCCCATTGCCGGCAATGGAGAAAAAGTCGTGATACGTCGCGACACATCATGGGATGTTCTGAGTTTGATACCCCTGAACTAATGTGTTCAAAATCAAGAAAAGATTATGTCATGGTTGTATACTGTCATCCTATTTATTTAATTTACATACAGAATAAAATAGAACTCAAAAAACATTTGCTATGTTGGAAAACTTCTAAAATAGAGGAAATGTTGTACTGGGAAAAAAAGACACAAAGATACATTCTAAAGGAAAGAGGAAAAAAAAAAGACTAAAAGTATCAAGGTGAAACTGAGCTAATTTAATTACATTTAAATCACAAATGCAAAGATATCAATGTGTTTCTACACCTAGAGCAGGAAAAGAGATCACAGAAGGCATTGTAGTTTAGATCCTATCCACAGTTTTAATTTTCTGTAAAGATTAGTGCAAATGCATAGGAAAGAGTTTGTATTGTATTCTTTAGCACATGTGTGGCAGCCACTAATGTTCAGAACATCAAACTAGTTGAAGCCCCCTTCTCTTATTCATTTAGCACCAGAGGTCAGCAAGCATCTTGCTGACATCTTATATACCCTTCATAGTTCATACAAATGAACTATGAATTGGGACATGATTTGTCTTCTAGGGATTTCTCTCTAAACAAAATGCCTTTTCAAATCTCTAGCTAGCTATTTTGGAAATAATGCACATTGTTGTTTCTCAAGGAGGGAGTTAAGAATATAAATTGAAAACCACAGTATTACTCATCTCAGTGAACTGTGACATAACCCCCTGAAAATGGGATACCAGAAGATATAAATGTTTCTTTTCCACAAGCTTCAAATTCATAAAGAAATTTCTTTCAGCCTTCCCTTACTTAGGATATCATCTGCATCCAATTACAGAATGGGTGATGGTATCAGCTAGAGAACAACTTATGTCATGGAGTGAAAGGCTGAAAATATCCATAAACAATATGCACATGCACACACACAGTCACAGTCTCTCTCTTTCTCTCTCTCTCTCTCACACACACATAGGCCCAAAGTTAAGAGAAATGTGGATAATGAGAGGCCTCAGTAGTACAAGATTTGAAAAAAAGAAAGAAAAGTGTTCCAATCCATATTCTTGCTCAAAAAAATATGGGGTATTTATGGGGAACGGAATGGAGAAGAAATATTACTTTTAATGCAAGATTAGCCAACTTGTTTTTACAAATTAAAGTTACATAAATTACTAGCAAAATAAACTGGTAAACACAATGTGCTGTCTAATATAGAGAATGTGATTTTAAATAAACCACATCAAAATGAATATTATAGTTACAGTAGCATGAAGCAAGGGGGCAAAAAGTGTACTTAGTATATTTGCACACAAGTTATTCAGAGAGATAACCGGAGCTGGATGGTCTTGGACCAGTTACTCTCCCTCAGCCCAACCCACCTCACAGAATTGGTATGGAAAAAATAGGAGGAGGAAGGTATATTAGATACAGTATGTTTGCTGCCTTGAGTTATTTGTGAAAATAATAAAGACAGGATACAAATGAATGAAAAATAAAAAGGTAAAGGCTTCCCCTGTCCAGTTATATCTGACTCTAGAGATCAGTGCTCATCCTAGCCAAGGGAATCAGTATTGTCCAAAGATGCTTCTGTGGTCCTTCAGCTGGCATGACTATACCCTGAAGTGTATGGAATGCTGTTATTTTCCCACTGAGTGGTACCTATTTATCTACTTGCATTTGTATGCTTTCAAACTGCTAGGCTGGTAGGAGCTAGGGCAAGGACAGGAACTCATCCCGTCATGGAGTACTTGAGTCTCAAACTGCCAATCTTTCAGTCGACAAGTCCAGTGTCTTAACTGCTCGGCCATCCCACCCCCTATAAACGAATGAATGAATAAATAAATCTGTTTAATATTGCTGAATATGTATGTCTTTTAGGAAGTAGGTTGTTTGAAACAAATCAAAACCAAACATACTTTAAAATTGCAGTGTTTCAGTATTATTTGCATCGATTCCAAAATAAAACATGTTCAAGGGGAATTATCACAGAGGAGTAAACCTCTATGCTTATCTTTTAATTTATACAAGAAAAGTAATGTTCTTGTTATTTTGGATAATCTTATTTTACCTGCTATCCTTAAATCATACAAACTGATTTATGCAGTCTTCAACTTAATTCTACTCTTGCTGACAAGCCTATAAGGCCTGTGTTATATGTGCAAAGACAGTTATACAATTCTAGTAGACATTTGCAAAATGTTTTGAATTTATAATGTTTTAAGCTCAAA